GCGCCATGTGTCCTTAAGCACCTTTGGACCCACTCTCTTAAAACTCACACCCCTTGAAAACTCAGGCTAGATTTGTGTAGTTCTGCTCCATGAGTTGACCCGGCAAGAATCGCAACCCAGCGGGGTACGTCACACATGAGGGATCCCACGTGTGACGTACCCTGCTGGGTTGCGTGTGATAGGGGGTCGTAATTGGTCGCAGTAGAGAGGAGGTGGGGTAATTACTTCCAAGAGAAATGTTTTCAGTTGTTGACTTTTCCCAGTTTTTCATACTTCTAATGCGCAAAACCCCTACTTTGCTTCACAGCAGGTCTTAGAAAGAAACTGGAGAGCCCTATGAAAACAAGGAAAAAAGGCGAAGAAGTTGGGATAATTTGGGGTGGGAAAGGCAGAACCAGGAGGAGAATCGGGAGATTTTCAAATCGTATTTTGCAAGTTTTCCCCAGTGGAAGGTAGGAGCTACCCTAGAACAGAGTGACATCGATACCAAAACACCCTAAAATACTAAATACTGACGACTTGTCTCAAAGGGTAGTCCGACTCCTTGTCGCGAGTGTCACTGTGATGCCACTCGCCACCACTTTACCACCCGCAGGCTATGATGGTGTTATGATGACGATAAGATGTGAAGCGAACAGATAATATTCTCCCGTTTTCCCACCTATTGGGCGAGTCCTCTTACAGAGTAGCAGCAGCTCCTCAAACTAAAGAGAAAACGCCGAGAAGTGATATTTCCCGGTTCTAAGACGTACACATTTGGGTAGGTCCTTTTTGTTCTAAGAATCAGCTATATTCTTTTTTGAAGCAAATGTTTTTTTCAGTGCATAATAATTTGCATAGGTACAACTAATATCGTCGCAATCATTTCCAAGCCATCTTTATGCTATTTTCATCAATTTCATTTTAAATTCGTGCGGCCTGTGCATGATACCAAATCTGTCTATTTCACCATCTGGTAGAGGACCATCTGCGTGAATGGAATAACGAAGCAGCAGATTGCCGAGTATCTGAAGACAAAAAGATGCAGTTGAAAGAAGATGTCAAACTGTTTCAAAAAAAATTTTTGCACTGAAGGCAACAGCTACCCTGTTCTGGGTCATTCCACGTTACAATTTGAGAGCGTACTGTAAAGAAAATAAAAGAGCTCTAAAGCTGGGCATGCTTGTGCTTGCGTCACGCTTCTCGACTTTCATCAATCTGAATCCATGGAAGCTCCAGCTTCTTTTTCACGCCAAGGAGCCTTGATGCGACCACTGAATTCAAAGAAAAAAACGTGGGCCAATACAATCAAGACTTGACTTGAGCTACGGAACCAAGCCAAGGTAATATACTATTACAATTGCTCAACAAAATCGCTGGCTATGAGTACAAAGCAACTTCAAAAATGACATGGTCCGTTTCCGAGGGCAGAAAGGGATATTCCTGCGCATCTGGTTGAAAGCACAGCACGAGAAGTGGACGCAGTTCCACTTGGTGGGGGCAGATCATGGTTCTAGGCTTATTGTGAGCATTTTGCAGGCAATTTATGAAGACCTGCTGATTGCGAAGCACCCAACTTGTGACCTCGCCAGACTTTACAAGTATTAAACGACCAGCAAAAGGATCTAGCAGTGCGAATCGCTCCTCCACAACTGCAATCAGCGTTAGAGTATGCATAAGAGAGGTGAGTGGGTACAGGAATGTGCAGCCGTCGCCCGGCTCGTAAAACAAACGTACTTTAAAACCTACGTTTCCCCCCCCCCCCACTCCCCCATCCGATAATGATATGATCGTATAACCTATCAGTCATTAACGGGAGAAAGCGGGCAAAAAGTGCGTTTCCAGAAATCATTTTTTTCTCGGAGATTCCTTGTCGCTGAAACGGAGTAGGCGTGGCATTTGAACACGGCAAAGAATGGGTTACTCGTGGGACCAGAGCACATCCGTTGCGTTGGGACTTTAAGTCCGATTCTGTAGACCCCCCCTCCTGCTTTGTGAGTTGGTACGACCTCCCCCCAGCCCTCTGTCCTTCCTCATCGAATCGAGCCGTCGAGCGGGGGGGCATATAGTACGTGAAACAGGAAAATCACCAAAAGTCAACCGCCACTCCCACAACGCCAAAACGTAAATACGCCCCCCCCCCCCTCCCAAAAATGATCAAATACGACCCCCTCCCTTTACAACGTCCATGAAGCGAGAAAAATCAACTATCAAAATAAATTTTTCTCAGCCCAAATACGACCCCCCCCCCCCTATTGGGGATTCTCCAACAACGATGTGCCTTTACGTTCGTGGACTCCAGCCTCGAGACAAGTGTCATGCTCTGTGTTAAACGGAGACATGACGACATTTCTGTCGAAATGATAACCGTCACCAAAGCAAAGCCACTGCTACGATTATTTGAAGTTCGCAGCCACGCCTACCAATTCTCTGGGATTTCGAGTGTATTTAGAAATAATAATTCCTCAGTCCATAAGAAATTGCATACGTAGACATAGAAAGACTATTTCCACATCAGGAAGGAAACATACAAGGTATAGTTCAGCTCTAGCAAGTGATTCTCCCAGACAAGATCTTCTTCCTAATCCGAATGGAATCACATTTGCCAGCAGAGACGGATCAGTGATGAATCGTGATGGATCAAACTGCAAATAATGTTGATTACATCTATAGCCTTGTTCAATGCCGATCATGGGACGTGTCTCGAGGGAATGATCAGGCCCAGCTCCTTTTTTTCTCTTCTCTTTCGCAAGCGCCAGGACTGCATGCTATTCGCATGACGGGTCCGTTATCTTCAGTTACTGCTGCGTCCGCTTCAAGCGACGCGATGGATGAGCTGGCCGACGCGCCATTCAGTCATCGGGCGTCCCTATTTGCAGCGAACTAGGTGTAAAGCACTGGGGCTAGGAAAATGTCCGGAACCCAGAAAATCCAGTGTTTTGTTATTAAAGGTGAAAAAAAACGGAGTTGAAGTTCCTTAATTCTTTTCGGCACTATTCACCCTTTACTGCCCCAATCATCCGAAATCTAGCCAGTTTTTGACCGATTTTTTTCTCCGTGAACGGAATTGACTAAAAATTTGTCTCCTGGGGTACTTTGACCTCCTCAATATGAATGCCCACCCGCTCGGCATGAACATGAAAGGAAACAGCATTTCAGCCAAATCGTCCACGGAGAAAAAATCTGTCAAAAACTGGCGCAATTGCGAATGGAAGAGGGCATTGAAGGTAAATAGTGCCTTCTTTTCATACAAAAATCCTATCTTTTTTATGAACCCAAACGTCCAAATTTTGTAACTGATATCCTTTTTTATCTTATTTTCACTGAACTGTCTTTTGATAGAAATGTTCGGGTAAAAATGGACCCCCTGCACAGCAATTTTGAGTTTTTTTTTTTCGATTGGGCCATCTAGGCCACGAGTTTTGTAACCATCCACCTCACTCATTATGCGTTTATCCTACAGTTTCTCACAACTGAAAAATCAAGAAGAGGTCAGAAATCCTTCCTAGCCTCCGGAACCCCAGTATTCAATCTGATGCTTGCAAGAGAGACTGTATGTGCACTGTTGGCGTCGGTCTATACTTCCAGATAGTTTTTGTTTTTTCAGATTACCTCATAGAACTAACTGTAATTTAGTACTTAGATTTGAAGTCCAGTTTCCGCTAACTTCCCGACTCGCATGACACTTACATACATACATCTGATATTTAAAATTCACTTTTGATTTTGAGTTCTCTGTATTTGAATGTGAACTTATCAGCGACAATTTCTGCGGCACTTCCGAAAGATTCTCTTACCTCTTTAGAGTTAGAAAAAGTCGCTTCGTCGGCGAGGATCAAGCTCAGTTCAGCTGCAACGATGGTGTGCTTCGGTACTGGATAACCACCAATCTCCGTATCCACATTTGTGAATCTCCATATGTTCATATTCAATATCGATGCATGACGTTGAATTTCCTCAAATACATTTATACTCCTGAACTTCTGATCTGAAAGATATTCCAGTAAAGTATGAGTTCACGTAGGACATAAGGCCCGTGCATGGTGAGCCAAGTCACACATACAGCCAATATCACTGAAATCGGTCGGCAGCGCTTTCATTTTGGCGCGTTCCCAACTCTTTTCAATTGGTCATTGCGGTTTTGGATGCACTGGGGGTGGGGGGGGGGAAGGGCATGCGGCGACGGTGGGAGTACCTGGGGCACTGCGTTTGTCCTATGGCTCGTTTGAACAGTTGAACGGATAACTGATGGACAGTGCGTTAATGGAAC